CAGAAGACCAGTAACAGCTGAGTAAGGACCTTCTGGTGGAACTAGAGCACAAGAAAGAAATTCACAGGCAGTGGAAGCAGGGACATGGAGCCTGGGAAGAATATAGGAATGCTGTACAGGTGTGTAGGAATGGGATCAAGAAAGCTAAGGCACATTGGGCGCTGAATTTGGGAAGGGATGTGAAGAATAATAAGGACTTCTGCAGCTACGTTGGTCAGAAAATGTGCCCCCCAATAAATAAGACAGATCTAGTGACAGCTGACATGGAGAAGGCTGAGGTACTCAACAATTTTTTTGCCTCGGTTTTCACAGACAATCTCTTTTCCTACATCTCTCAAGTCTCTGAACCTCAAGACATGGACTGGGGGAACAAAGTCCCTCCTATCATAGGAAGAGATCACATTTGAGACCATCTGAGGAACTGTTGTAGTTTTACCCTGGCTGGCAGCAAAACTCAACACCACTCACATGGCCTCCTCCTTTGCCCTCGCAGGGATGGGAGAGAGAATTGAAGGGGTAAAGGGAAAAGAGACTCATAGGTTGAGATAAGAACAATGTAGTAACTAAACTACAACTACATTGAAAATATTAATTGTAATAATAATAGTAATAACGATATACAAATACACAAATGAGTGTTACACTGAGCAACTGCTCACCACCCGATAAGCAAGGCTCAGCCCGTTCCCAGTTAACGATCCTGGAGCAGGGAGAGTCCCAAAACTGCAATCCTGGAAAAGAGAGAAGAGCCTGAGTGTCCAAGAGACTGAGATAACCCTGAGAGAGAGGCGACCTGGAGGGAGACAACCTGGAGCAAGAGTGAGCACTTCCAGACAGAGCCTCATCATATGCTGGGCATGACATGCATGATATGGAATAGACTACTGGCCACTTTGAGTCTCAATCCCAAACCTAAGGTCGAACCCTAGTAATTGGGGCTGTGCTCCTTTCCAGCTTCTCCTGCCCCTGCAGAGACTGGCACAGCAGAGAAGCTGAAAAGTCCTTGACTGTCCTGGCAGCAACTACAAGCATCAGTATGTTATCAGCCTTCTTCTCAGCACAGAGCCAAAATATAGCCTCACCCTAGCTACTATGAAGAAAGTTAACTCTGTCTCAGCTGAAACCAGGACAGGAAGCTGAACATACACAGGTCCATGGGACCTGACAAGATCCATTCCAGGGTCCTGAGGGAACTGGCAAATGCAGTTGCCAAGCCATTCTCTGTAATATTTGAAAAGTCATGGCAGTCAGGTGAAATCCCCAGCAACTGACAAAAAGGGAATGTCACACCCATTTTAAAAAATTGTATGATATTCCTTTATAATGGGGAATAGGTAAAAAGGACACTGGGAACTACCAGCCAGTCAGCCTCACCTCAGTGCCTGGTAAGATTATGAAGCAGATCTTCCTGGAAGCTATGTTGAAGCACATGGAAGACAGAGAAGTGATAGACAAGAGGCATGGATTTGATGGATGGACTGCTGGATAAGGAATTGGCTGGATGGTGTCATCCAAAGAGTTATAGTCAGTGGTTCAATGACCAAATGGAAACCAGTAATGAGTGATGTCTCTCAAGGGTCTGTGTTGGGCTCAATACTGTTTAATATCTTCATTAATGACATGGACCATGGGATTGAGTGCACCCTCAGCAAGTCTGTGGATGACACCAAGATGAGCGGTGCAGTTGATTCACTAGAGGGAAGGGGTGCCATCCAGAGGGACCTTGACAGGCTTGAGGAGTGGGCCCATGTGAATCTCATGAAGTTCAACAAAGCGAAATGCAAGGTCAAAGGATTGGGGCCATCCTCAACACCAGTACAGATTGGAGGATTAATTGATTGTGAGCAACCCTGCAGAGAAAGACTTGGACATACTGGTGGATGAAAAATTTGGACATGAGCTGTTAGTGTGCACTTACAGCCCAGAAAGTCAGTTGTATCCTGGGCTGCATAAAAAGAAGCCTGGCCAGCAGTTCAAGGGAGATGATTCTCTTCCTTTAGTCTGCTCCCGTGAGACTCCACCCTGGGGTACTGCATCAAGCTCTGGCATCCCCAGTGCAAGAAAGTCATGGACCTGCTGGAGGGTCATGAAAATAACCAGGGGGGTTGGAACACCTCTCCCATGAGGAAAAGCTGAGACAGTTGGGGTTGTTCATCCAGCAGAAGAGAAGGTTGAGGCAAGACCTTATTGCAGCTTTTCAATATATGAAGGGTGCTTGTAAGAAGGACAAAGCCTCTTCACCAGGGCCTGTAGTAAAAGGGAAAAGGGCAATGGTTTTAAACTGAAAGAGGGTAGATTTAGATTGGTTCTAAGGGAAAAAAAAAATTCTTTATGAAGGTGGTGGGACATTGGAACAAGTTCCCCAGAGAAGTTGTTGAGGCCCTGTGAGTGGAGTTTTCTGTGTCAGGTTGAACAGGGGTTTGAGCAACCTGGGCTAGTGAAAGATGACCCTGCCCATGACAAGGCAGTTGGTCTAGATAATCTTTCAAGGTCCCTTCCAACCCAAACCATTCCATGATTCTATAGGGCACCAAGTCACACGGGGTCAAAAGAAGGACCTTCATGAAAGCATTTATCCAATACCAGAGCAGGAGAAAAATTAGTCCTTGCATTTCTGAGTGAAGTTCTGAAAAATTTCTGTCATGTCCAAATATCCCAGTCCACTGTGAGCAGTACATTCTATCTTTTTTTAAAAAAAAAAAAAGTTCTGTTTGCTCGACTATTTTTTTTCAGGGAAAAATAGGAGGCAGAAGTCATTCTGTCTTCTACTGAATGCATCATTGTACAAAGCTTCATGTCAGAAAAAAAAGGCTAAGATCTATTTTCTTGAAGATAGTATTTGAAATAAGTAATTAAGTTTTTTGTTTGTTTGTTTGTTTAATAAGGGAAGCCATTAAATTAAAGGAATTAATGGGCACTTACAGTATTATTTCTTCCTTCCTCTCCTCCACCTCATAACATTTGCAAGATCTCTTTACATTTACTCCTTAGCTGAGCCTAAAATTAACTGCCTGTGATTGTAAAAAACAAAGCTAAAAAGTCCAGATATGTGGTCAAAATTTTGGAAGACCAGAAAAATTATCTTTTAGGAAAGCATATAGACTGCTCCAGGACTGTGCTGCTACATCAGGTGTTTGGAAAAAGGACAGAGGCCTAGCCTAAACCCAGGGTAATATATTTGCAAAGGATCAAAAGACTTTAGAGGCAGAGCTACTAGTAGACTGACTCTGATATGCATTAATAGAACAGAATAAGATACAGAATTTGAAGGAAATATGTATGCTACAGAACTAAGCCCCAGAAATTTCTCCTCAATGCTATGTGTCTTTCCCAACAGATTAACTTCAATGACAATGTAGTTCACAACCCATAGTCCACAGCAGGTGAAACCATCGTGAAATATAGCACCAGTACAGATGTTGGCTCCAAATCCACACGATCTTCTGTTTTCATAGTTTTGCATATTATGTTATTCTGTTGTCTTCTCTAGACAAAAGCACCTCTGAAATGCTGCCACGTTTCTTGGCAGTTTCTCACACTTTAGGTACACCCTAGTAATGGTAAACCAGCACGAATGACAATCTCTTAAAACTGACCCCCCCATTACCAAAACTCCACAAGACAGGGTGTGATACTACATGATCAAAAGAAAAAGTGAAAGAAGACAAATGACTGCATTTTTGACCATATGAAGTAATCACGGTCTCCTTTCCCACATTGTACTACATGTTTTTGAACACAACACTCCTCTATCCAACTCATCTCAAGAAAAAAAAATCATGTTATGGATATTCAGTTTATCCCATATCACAAAACTCACGGGTTGGAAAAAGCCATTCCCTAGTTTATCTCAACAATTCTGAGGAAATAATTGTTTGTTTAAGCCACTTGATAGATATCATTTTATTAAAGAAATGCCTACAGCCTTATCTCTATTTCTCTCAATGAAAACATACATACCTTTTTTTTTTTTTTTTTTTTGCACAACTACTAATTCTGGCTGACAAAATCTCTGAAATATGGTGTAAAAGTAAGCACAAAAATAAACTCTATCTTAAAATAAGAACATGCTAATGAATGTGTTTACCTATTGTGCTTAATTAAAAGAACTATTTGGGAGAAAAAAAATGGGAATATAGTTCATCAAAATATTAACACAAGGACGCAGGAAACTGAGGAAACGGTGAAAGAACGCCTATATGTTCCTACGAGATGTTGAAGGTACCTGCTGATTTAAGAGAACTCTTTTTCACGTCAACTTTTCTGGTGAAAACCGGCTTTCTTTTACTTTTTATTAGCTCCGAGTAGGGCTAAATAGGGCACTATGTCCAAAGGTTTCAATATTTTTAAGAGATGAAGCCGTGTTAAGTGAGACAACTCATAACCCAGATGCAGAGCCGAGTGGTTACTTTGTGTTATTTGCTTCTTTTCAAAACTACTTTACGCTAAGAAAATGTCCCGAGATTACCTCCATTTTGCACCACCTTGATGAAAAACCGTCTCAGGAACATGAATCCGCTGCCACTGTGACAATGCTGTCAGAAGCAAAGTTTTAATTCGAAAGGAAAAATAAAAATCTCACCGTCCAGCTCTGCCTGCGATCCCCAAACCCACGGGTTATTGTTTCACCTAAAGATCATTTTAACTCTCAGCTAAAGGAAACGCCGAAAGACAAAAATATCGTCTGTCCCCAGCAACACCGGTAAGAAATGGGGTGCCGCGGTCACGTTTTTTTTACAAAAAACACAGTTTTTTGAGAAGTAAGAAACACAAGCGGAGCGGCACAGCGCGCGGCCGCGGGGCGGGGCGGACTCAGCAACGCACCAATCAGCGCCCGCCGGCGCTGCTATAAATAGGGGCGCAGCCGACAGAGTAGCAGCCGTCC